GCACATGTAGATGGTGAGTGGGCTGATGGACGAGACCAACACCTGGGAAAGAAACAAAGAAACAAAGAAAGCCATTGACACACGCGAGCAGAGAGTTTTCTGTCTGTCTGTCTGTCTGTGTGGATGTCAGATGTCATGCACGGATCGTACCCACTGTCGCACGTCGAATTTTCGCCCACTCGCCACCAACAAAGGCCGCTCAATATACCTACACACACACACACACACACACAGAGAGAGAGAGAAAGAGAGAGAGAGAGATGCTGTGATGAGATTCTATGCGCATGTCGAGCATGTGCGTGTACTTTTGTATGATTCGGTTGGACAGCTGCGATCCCGCCTTGCATATCTCGGCATGGTCGCTGAGACACTGCACCCCCGAGGCCTTGGAGCAGGACGATGGTTTGAGGATCCAGATGGTGCACATGGATCCGTGTAAGCCCATCTGCGGCCACCGCTCCGCCAGATCGTCCATCAGACGCTCAACAGAGACATCGAAAGCTGCTCATGAAGGGAGGGACACACACACGAAAAGAATACAACACTCATTCATTCATGTACAGAGAACGGCACAACACCCCCACTGCTTTCTGACCGTGTGTGGGAGGGCCCCAATCGGCATCGGGCACCCCCTGGAAAGCGGGAAAAGGTAAGAGAAAGGGTAATTGGATGCAGCATGCATGAGTCGGTGAAAATAGGATAGCCTCACCCGTTCGCGTATGTATCTGACGAATGGCGGCTGTGCGTAGGGCGACTCCTCTCTGTAGAGGTCGTCCTGCAGACACTGCAGGTAGTGATTGACACACACAGGGAGGGACATAGATGTGATGGGCTTGGCTTGATGGGCTTCTCTGCCTGCTCACTTGTGCGTAGTGCAGGAGGGCCATCCACTCGGTGTCGGTCAGAAACACATCGGCCGACTATCCATTTGTCCCCAAACACACACAGAGACGCAACGGGCGTCTTTGATGATGAGTGTGTGTGTGTGTCTGTGTGTGTGTGTGTACTTCTCTGAGTTCATTTGGGTCCACTTCAGCTGCGAATTGTTCCACAATCTTGTATGCCAGCTGCAGCAGCCGACGGTTGCAGTAGTACACACACGGCCACTCCTGCTGATGTTGCTGGCCAGATGAACCTTTACAGAGACATTTTATCCTTTGTTCTGTTGTTGATATGTGCTGTGTCTGTGACTACAAACACCACCATTTGTGTGCGTCTTTGGTCGGTCCAGCCGCGCATAGTGGGCGTACGTGTCCTCCACACTGCCGCCTGGCAGTCCATACACATGGGATGCAATGCATAGACACCAATGCAATGCACACACACCACCAACACACGTATCGTATCTGTGCGTACAGGTGCGAATGAGGAGAGCGCGGATCGACAGATGCCGCTTCAACACACCTGCTCGCCACGCCCACAGGCACAGAGACACACACACACACACACACAGAGAGAGAGAGACACACACACATCAGAAAGTGTGTGGTGTAGGCGTACATACCATAAGCAGCCGACACCCGAAAGCAGTGGAGGAAATCCTGCCGGTCAATCGCATTCCCTGCGCACACAAGACACCAGACCCCCCCCCCCCCCCCCC